GGGAAGAGGAGGTGTAAAGTGGGGAGGAAGGTAGTAGGAGGGGAGGGTAGGGGGAGGAGGGAGGGAGGTAGGGGTAGGAGTAGGGGAAAAGGAGGGGTAAGAAAGAAGAGGAGGATGCAAGAAAGAGAGAGAGAGAGAGAGAGAGAGAGACCAAAGATTTAGTGTTTCTCCAATTCTAAAATAATGAGCAGCGGAAAATCGGGCGTCAGATGAGCCGATACCTGCCGATTACACCAGCTTCACTTCCGGCCGGGAGAGCCGATTTAGGCGCCCGGGGCGATACCGACGAGGGAGTGGGGAGAGAGGGAGGGAAGAGAGGAAGGGAGAGGGCTGGGGTGAGGGGTGAAGAGAGGGTGCTGGGAAGGGGAATGGGGGAATACAAAGATGGGAGAGGGGAGGAGATAGAGAGGAGAGAGAAGAGGGTTGTGAGGGGGAGGGAGGGGAGAGGGAAGAAGGACAGAAGAGGGGTGAGAGAAATAAGAGAAACGAGTGGGAAAAGTGGAATGAAGAAGAGAGTGGGGGATGTGTGGAAAAGGGGAAGATAATGGGACGGAAGAGTAATGAAAGGAGATGGAAGAGAGGAAAACACACACACACACACACACACACACACACACACACACACACACACACACACACACACACACACACACACACACACACACACACACACACCCCACCCTCCCCCCCATACAGGAAGTAAAACAGACAAAAATCGTCCCGTCCATCCGTACAAACATCCAAACACAAATACATACAGAACCCAGGATATAAATATTTTTTTTAGTTCAGGATGACCTTAAACACGGCGTCGTAACCCTCGATTGGTAGGCTCGTAAACCATGTCGTAAAGATGGCTTATGAACTCACACTACTCTCTGGGTGACGATAAACTGGCGGCCGAGTGAATCTTCTTCAGCAATTATTACCATACTTTTGTTATAGGCAACACTTGGAGTCAATTTCAATTTTACGTGAGCAGTAAAATTAGCTTGGTCTTATAAAGGGCCAAACTACCCGGGGAGAGGGAGGGGGGAGTGAGGAGCTTACCTGTGGTGTGTGTGTGTGTGTGATTGTAAACACACACACACACACACACACACACACACACACACACCTCACTCTCTCTCTCTCTCATTCCCTGGGGCTCTGGTACCGCCTTCCCTACTCCCTGGGGCTCTGGTACTCTCCCCTCTACTCCCTTGGGCTCTGGTACTCGCCTTCCCTACTCCCTGGGGCTCTGGTACTTCCTCCCTACTCCCTGGGGCTCTGATACTCTCCCTCCGCACTCCTTGGGGCTCTGTTATAATCCCTCCCTACCCTAAGCTTCTGGTACTCTCCCTCCCTACTCCCTGGGGCTCTGGTACTTTCCCTCCCTACTCCCTGGGACTCTGGTACTCTCCCCACCCCCTGCCCCTGGGTCTGCACTCTCCCTCCCTACTCCTGGGGCTCTGGTACACCCCTCCCTACTCCCCTGGGGCTCTGTTATAATCCCTCCATACTCCTTAAACTTCTGGTACCTCCTCCCTACTCCCTGGGCTCTGTTATAATCCCTCCATACCCTTGCTTCTGGTACTCTCCTCCCTACTCCCTGGGCTCTGTTATAATCCCTCCATACTCCTTAAGCTTCTGGTACTCTCCTCCCTACCCCTGGGGCTCTGTTATAACTCCTCCCACTCCCTAAGCTTCTGGTACTCTCCTCCCTACTCCTTGGGCCTCTGTTATAATCCCTCCCTACTCCATGCTTCTGGTACCTCCCTCCCTACTCCCGGGGCTCTGTTATAATCCTCCCTACCCCTAAGCTTCTGGTACTCTCCCCTCCCTACTCCCTGGGGCTCTGTTATAATCCCTCCCTACTCCCTAAGCTTCTGGTACTCTCCCTCCCTACTCCCTGTCTTATAATCCCTCCCTACTCCCTAAGGTCCCTCTCCACAGGTGTTAAGTCCAACCATCCACCCGGACAGGTAATGAAGACGCACGAGCCACTGATAGTACTTCACCTGTACTCTACTTTACCTGTATTTATTAATTAGGATATTTCATTAACTTTTTACCTGCACTTCAATAAATCTCCGTTAATTAGTGATGGACAAATTACTTCAGTTTATACCTGTTGAAAAATCCTCTAAATTAAGATCTGTTTTGTTTTTTATTTAGTGCTATTTTATTTTGCTATTTTATGCTATTATTTATATTTTGTTACTTGTCAATATCTGATGTCACTGCTTCCATACATACATACCTACATACTGTACATACATACATACATACATACATACCTACATACATACATACCTACATACATACATACCTACATACATATATACATTCATACATAAAATCACAGTAATAACCACAATATCTTTCTTTTCCCCACAACTACTTCCCCTCCCTACAACTACTTCCCCTCCCCACAACTCCTTTAGCTTCCTGCAGGGTCCTCTCCCAACCCACTGATCGTCTCGTGTCACCACCTACCTGACGGAGAGATCATTAGTGACGTGTCTTGGATCTACAGGTGGTGGTGGTGGTGGTGGTGGTGGTTTGCCCTCTCAATGCGTGTGTGGCTCTTCCTATGACGGCGATCACGCCATGGTGTGCAAGAAAGGGGGCTTCATATGCATGAGGCATGACGAAGTAAGGCATCTCACAGCAAATATGTTGAAGGAAATCTGCCGTGATGTCATGGTAGAACCGTCCCTCCTTCCATTGGGCTGTGAGAATTTCCAATATAGGACTTCAAACACATCCAATGAAGCCCGTGTTGACGTCAGTGCTCAAGGATTCTGGACGCGGGGACAGCGAGCTTTCTTCGACATCAGGATTTTTGATCCCATGGCCGCATGTCACCGTAACTTAGCTCTCGGTGCTGCACATAGGAGGAACGAGAACGACAAGATAAGGGCATACGGGGAGAGAATTCAGAACGTTGATCAAGGCAGCTTCACTCCTCTAGTGTTCACAACCTCTGGTGGGATGGGACCAAGTGATGCTTCTACCAGACTCGCGGAGGTGCTATCCGAACAGAGGCAGCAGCCCAGAGTTATGTTACAGCCTGGAAGAGATGTCGACTGTCTTTCTCTCCCCTTAGGTCGGCTTTGCTCTGCCTCAGGGGAACGAGAGCATCGGCCCCAAAGCCGACAACAGTTGCAGATACTGACTATGAGGCAACAGTCACTGAATGCTGCATAGATCTGCGGCTCAACTAACTCAAAACAGCTGGGATAGCTACTTATGTATTAGGATATTTAATATTAAGGTAATAAAATGGCGGCGAAGGTATGGCTATTGGAGGAGGATGGAGGCCATTAAAAAAAAGTAGTAGTAGTGGTGGTGGTCGGGTCAGCAGGTGGTGTCTGAAGCAACCATCTATGAGCTTGTAATTACCAGATAACTCACAGATGGTTAATGATATCCAACAGCTGGTATCCTAGAGGCACTCCCAACAGATGGTTACTATAGGCTGCTGCTGCTGCTACTACTCTGCCTCGTCGTCACCCTCCTCCTCCTCCTCCTTGTCGTCACCCTCCTCCTTCTCCTCCTTGTCGTCACCCTCTTCCTCCTCCTCCTCCTCCTTGTCGTCACCCTCCTCCTCCTCCTCCTGTCGTCACCCTCTTCTCCCTCCTTGTCGTCACCCTCCTCCTCCTCGTCGTCACTCCTCCTCCTCCTCCTCCTTGTCATCACCCTCCTCCTCCTCCTCCTGTCGTCACCCTGCTCCTCCTCCTCCTCTGTCGTCACCCTCCTCCTCCTCGTCGTCACCCTCCTCCTCCTCCTGTCACCTCCCTCCTAAGATAACGTTCCCGCCAATTTCCGCCCACAAACTGTTTCCGAACTGCCTCGGGAACAGGATGGGGATGGGGGTTAAAGGAGGGTATGGTATTAGGGGAGGTAGAGGGAGGGGCGGCAAGTTAGAAAACGGCAACTGTGATTGGCCAGTCACTAATCTCTATTATCTTCTGTGGTTACGGTCTACTGGTGAGGCGTGACAGACTTGTGTGTGTGATGATGAGGGAGGGTGAAGAGGAGAGGGAGGGAGGGTGAAGGGAGGGTTGAGGAGGGAGAGGGGGAGGGTGAAAGGAAGGGTGATGGGTGGAGTTGGTGTTGGGTGAGGAGATACGGTAGGTCGAGGGAGGGTAAGACAGGGTACGGAGGGTGAGGAGGATAAGTCAGTGAGGGAAGGAGAGGGTATGGAAGGTAAGGGCGATTATGCCAGGTATCATCTCCTGTCACCGCCCTTGTTGCCACGCCACACACCCGCGGGTACACACGAAGCGGTAAACCAGGAACTAAAGAATTAATATTAACTTCATTTAAACGATAGAATTAACTATGGTAACAATAGGTTTACGACATTATGTTTTTGATATTATGTTTACGATTTACAGTTTTAACGTGTTATTATTATGGTTTACTTTTAATGATAAACTGTGTGTGTGTAATAATAATAATAATAATAATAAACGGTTTATTAATGGAGTTTGCCGGTGGCTGAAAATATACAAACTTATATTTGATTTAGACATAATGATATGCGTTAAATGTGTGTGTGTGTGTGTGTCTGTCTGTCTGTCTGTTTCTTTACTACGCGTAAAGATCTGAGAGATGTTATTGCTTAATTTTGGATCACGTGAAGATTAGCCACCCTAATTTATTTCACCTGATGTTTAAACACCTTCACGCTACCTGGGGGTAAGTAAGGTTAGGTTAGGGGTTAGGTGTTTAATCTTCACGTACTGTATTACTTAATTCACAGACTGACTTAAGTGTTTCATGGCAAGACAAACACAGGGATCAGCCACTGAATGATGACAGGTAAACAAGATAAGTGTTATCTGACCAACGTTATCCGTCAGTAAACACTGCTCAGGCGACTTACACCACCGTAAACAGGGATCATCTCGTGTACACCACCGTAAACACAAAGGTCAGCTGATTTACAACAACATAAACAACAATCAGCTGACGCACATCACTGAGTTACCACAACAACTCATACTTACCCTGAGTGAAGACCGCCCGCGTGTTGCTTGTCATGGTGAGGATGTGGGCGTTGTGCTGTCCCTGGCTGCCACCCACGCCCACACTCAGGCTCCTGTGCGTCCCCTCACCGCCCATCCACGAATCCACGCCCACTCGAGTGCCCGTGGGCGCCACCACAGTCACCAGACGGCCCGTTTCATCATACTCGTACACATTGGTGAGGCGACCTGAGGGAGAGGCAGACGGAGGGGTTAGACCTTACACTGATGATGTGGTCGACTCTAACACTATGGGCAAGTGTTTATGATCTCTACTTGAACAACCTCCTCAGAGACTCACCTGGGGAGGTAGAGGCCACCAGAAGGCCGGTGTCGTCGTCGTAGGTAAAGTCGTAGACACGTCCCGGCCTCTCGGAGAACCTCGTCATCAGGCCCAAACGACTGATCCTCACAGCGAACTTCTCCCCCATTGTGTTCTCGATCTATGGGAAGAGACCCAGTGGTGTAGTGGGGAGGGGTGTAGTGGGGGTGTGGGGGGTGTACGGGGGTGTAGGGGGTGTACGTAAAGTGTAGGGGGGTGTAGGGGGGGGTGTAGGGGGTGTAGGAGGGAGGTAGGGGGTGTAGGGGAGGGTGTAGGGAAGGTGGAAGGCGTGGATGAAGGAAGGAGGTATAGGGAGAGCGTAAGGAGGGAGGGGAGGTGAAAGAGGTTATGTAGGGGAGAAATGACATTATAGTATGAGGAAGGTGACAGAGGAAGACTTACTAGGTGGTACAAGGGGGGGAAGTGAGAAGGAAAGGTCTATTGTATGGGGAATGGGGAAAGGAGGGGAGGGGAAGGAAAGAGGAAGGAAGGGGAGATAACGGGAGGGTAGGAGACAGGCGAGGAAGCGGCAACAACTCTCAGAACTTAAGTAGAGTTTAAGTGACTCCCTGAAACTTGTGAGGGATTTAGGGAATTGAATGGAATCCCTCTTTGGAGATGTAGGGACCTGTGGAGTTTGATAGCACAAGTTCTGCCAGTGTTGTGTGGCTACAACTTTATTATTTTTGTCTCCTTTTCGTTATTTTTATTTTAGGTTTTTATTTTTTTGGTGTGTGTAGATTGTCTTGAAGTTTAGGCAGGATCAGGAGGCCGTAAAGAGTTTGACGACGACCAGATATGTGTGTGTGTGTGTTGGGTGGCTGAAGGTAGAGGAGGCATAAGGGGATGATGGTGTCGAGAAGAAGAAAAAGAAGAAGAAGAAGAAAGAGAAGACGTTGCACCTGGCTATAATAGATCGTCTGGTGTGGTCATTAAGCAGGTTTCTTCAGGTAAGTATTAAGACACAATGAACATCTACCTGGCAACTCATTATGATATCGTTACACCTGTAAAACAATACCTGAACAGAATATCTTAAGAACATATTATCTACACTGATCCATTCTTGTGAACACTTATTTACACCTGTGAACAGTGATACACACACACACACACACACACACACACACACACACACACACACACACACACACACACACACACACACACACACACACACACACACACACACACACACACTAATCCATATGTGACACTATAACCTACAGCTATTCACACTAATTTAAGCTCATAAAACACACTCATTGACTCAGACACACACGGTACCTCACAAACACACACGGTACCTCACAAACACACAGGTGGCCGAGACTGACCTGGCTGACGGCGGAGGTGTAGTCTCTGAGGAACATGACCTTGTTCCCGGAGGAATCGGTGACCTTGGAGAGTCTGCCGAAAGAGGTGTTCTTGGAGTACAGGAAGGAGTAGAGAGTCCTGCCCGTCACCAGGTCCCGAGTTTCGACGTGATGACCGTGCCGATTGAACACGTAGAGCTCATTGGTGCGAGGATAAGCGACCTGTAGGCACCCCCAGATGGTTGTGTGTGTTAGTAGGGGTGATGGGGAAGTGGTCTAATTTTCTTTATGGTAATTCTGTTCATATTTGTTTTAAGTTTGGATGTTCATGAATTATCAGTTCTAATCTTGATCTGATAATAAACTAACCTGATCTGACCTAACCAAAAGCTAATCTAACATGACCTAAACTTACCTAGCTTTATCTAACCTGACCCAAATCAAACCCAACCAAACTCAGTCTAATTTAATCCAACTCGGCCTAACCTAACCTAACCAAATCATACACCTCGACTGTACTCTCAACTCACCTGAAAGTCGCCGTTCTGGTCGTCAGGAGGGAGGTAATGGATAAAACTGAAGAGCTTGAGGGCCTTCTGGTCAGCCACGTGTATTACCCCGTCAGGAGACACCGTGATGGCTGATACAGACCCCAGCACCGTGGTCGTGGAGAGAGGGATCTGCGGCAGTGAGTGGGAGATGGTGAGAGAGAGAGAGAGAGAGAGAGAGAGAGAGAGAGAGAGAGAGAGAGAGAGAGAGAGAGAGAGAGAGAGAGAGAGAGAGAGAGAGAGAGAGGTAATATACAATAAAAGATGACAATATTATAAAGCACACTCGAAAGTGACAATGTTTGATAAATCATTGGACCTCTCTACACACACACACACACACACACACACACACACACACACACACACACACACACACACACACACACACACACACACACACACACACCTTGTCATCAACAGGGCAGGTACAATCCTCGTCTACACAGCCACACTCCGGCTTGGCTCCAGCGAAGTGTTTGAGTTGACCCGCAGGCGTGAGTTCCAACACGGCGTGGCGCTTGTGTGCGTCCTCCTCCGTCAGGAAAAGTGAGCCAAAGGGCGCGAAGGACAGCCCAGTGATGGTTCCTAATGAGGGAGAGAGGAGACAGTGAGTGAGTGAATAAGAGGTATGTGGGTGAACTACGATAGGGAAGGAGGGGGGAGGGATAGGGATAGGGAATAGAGTGACATTCTTGTTCTCTATATTACAGGTTAAAGAGTCTCTACTACACACATCCTTATCTAATATCCCTTTATCCTCAGAGGACTGTGGTATCATGAGAGCTGCCGTGTCCGTGGTAGTAACAAGGCGTGGCCACACAGTCACTAAGCCTGTTATCACTCCCTCATGAATAGATATCTCAGAACTTGTGTGTTTTATGTAAATATGAAAACAAATAGTTCTTTGTCAGGTCAAACACGACAATAATTCCCTCGTTATAAGCTAGCAAGTAAATAGTACAGCTTCGCAATTTCCCTCAATTATAGTCTAGTTACTTGACATCACGCTGGTAAACTGCCCCATAAACAAGCTTCTGCCATTTAATAGTGCAATAGTACAAGCAGGGGGCCCCATCAGCGCCCCCCATCATACGCAGAAGACCCTAGTGGCCCTTTGAAATACAAGAAGGGGGCCCCATCAGAGCCCCGACACACACACAGTAGCGCCCCCAACACAGGCAGGCGGCCCTAAAAGTGCTTCTAACACTCACCGACGGCGGGTTTGTCCGGGGAGGAGGGACAGTGGAGGGGTGTGCCGGCCCTCACACGGACGGTGCCGTCACTGGTGACCTGGAGGACAACGTGGTCATCAAGGATATGTAGAGAGCCGTCGAGGGGGCAGAGGGCGAGGCCAGTTGGCCACTGTAGTTCCACCTGGCTGGCCGGCAGACCTCCCGAGCAGGGCAGCGGCCGCCAGCGGGTCTTGTGGCCATGGTGTCCTATCAACGTGTGGATGACGCCCTGAGGGTCCACCATGCGAATATTTGTACCGTCAGCGATGTACATGGTGCGGTCGGCGGCGATGGCCAGGCCTTTAGGGTGTGCCAGTCGAGCCTTCCGCGCCGCGCCCCGGTCCCCACAGTGACGCTCATCACCTGAAGGAGGAGGAGGAGAGGTGACACGTGTAGTCAGAGGCTGAAGTATATGGACATCAAACCATAATGTCTCTGTCCGACTAAAATGATGTATATGAACAACTTGACTTAACAAATGTTGTTTATAATTACTGCTGTTTCTCTTAGTGACAGTCAAACTACCCACAACAAGACAGTACAGTAAGGTCCGCCTCACTCACCTGGGATGCAACGCTCCCCGTTACCGGCGACAGTCTCAGAGTTGGTGCTGGGCTCCGTGACGTCAGTAAGGGAGAGGACCCGCAGCACCTTGTACTTCTCAGGGTCACTCACGTACACCTGCCCGTCCGCTGGCGACACCGCGATGTGGTAACCATAGGACACCTGCGTCGCGCTAAGGGAGGACAGGTGAGGGGGTTAATTATAATATAATAAAACGTCAACAGGTGCCATATAGTCATACTGACTTAACAGATGTTGGCGTCACACTGCCCAGTACAGTACTATCATCTGTACACCTGTAACAGCTTGCCTACCTTCAGCCCCAGGGTACCTCACCCGACCTAGAGGGCTTCACCTGAGCTAGAGGGCCTTACCTGAGCTGAAGCAGTGTATACACCATGCCCTCTGGGGTGACCCTCCGTAGTAGGTTAAAGTCCCCGACGTACACAGAGCCATCAGGACCCGAGGCGAGGCTGGTGGGTGTGAGGAGCTGGGCGTCACGGGCCAGACCTGAGCAGTGACGACACACGATCTGACGCTGTGATCCCGTCCCCATCAGAGGTGACACCAGCCGCGGCGCCTCCCGGAGACTCATAGTCGACCCGTCCCCACGCTGTAGCAGACCTGGAGACGAGGGAGGGAAGCCAGGTTATTACAGGGTTTCCAGTGACACTCAATAAGGATGTGTAGGTCGTCTTACACATATGAGAACACCTGGTAATTGTCTTCATCAGGTGTCATTACAATAATTAAGATCAAATTAAGGTTAGCGTAGTAATTAATCTAGTTATTAATATTGGCGTCCATTAGTTAATTCTAGAACTATATTATCTTGACAAAAAATCACTGAACCAAGTTATAAATTAAAATCGGGAAGAAACCGATAATAACTTTTTGTTTTTCCGTTTTTCACTAAATAGAAAATGTTAGGAAGTCACCTGTACATACAAGTTTATAACAAAAAAATACAAGAGAATATTTACCTGAAATAAAAATATATTGAATAATTATCATAAAACGAAATCCCACTGAAAACTGTTCCACACTTGTCATTAATAGAAGTGGCATACCAAAAAAATCGTGTTCGTGGCATCATTGCTAACATTGTCCAAACACCACACATGGGGGGGGGGGGAGAAATCAGCTGACGGACATAAACAAAACAAAACTCTCTACATCGGTGACATTTTTCCCGATCGTGTGTTTATTTTTTGTTAGTCAGAGTTACAATACAAATCAAAAACAGTAAAAAATGCTGTTAATATATTTTCACGTGTGTGTGTGTGTGTGTGTGTGTGTGTGTGTGTGTGTGTGTGTGTGTTCAAGGTCTTACAATCCTTCTTATTTATGCGTTGAAATTTGAGTTTAAAATATTCCACCAATAAAAGTAATGGTGTGGCAGGACGAGACAAGAAGGGGGGGTAGGGGAGGGAGGGAGTGTAGGGGAGGGAAGAGGTGAAGGAAGTGGGAGGAGGAGGGTAGAGAGAAGGAAAGAAGGAGTCAAGGATAGAGGTCGACAGGGAGGGGAGGGAATGGGGTTGGTGAGAGGGGAAGGGGGGGTATGAAGGTATGGGCAGGGACGGGAAGAGGGGAGGGATGGGAGGGGTGGGGAGCAGACATAGTCCTCCCCACCCCCACACATTCTTTCTCACAAGTTTCTGTCGACCAGAGTTTTGGGTACACAGTTAAACTTATTAATTTTACACTGCTTGCTTGGTCTTATTGCTATGGGCAGGCGGGAAGAAAGAGGGGGGGAAGGGGGAAGGGAAGGAAGGGAGAGTGAGGAAGACGTGGATGGATGGGATGAAATGGGAGAGATCGAAGAGAGGAAAGGGAGAGAGGGAGGAAGGAGGGAATAGGAAAGAGGGAGGGATATAATGGGAGGGTTAATGGTAAAAGAGAGAGAGAGAGAGAGAGAGAGAGAGAGAGAGAGAGAGAGAGAGAGAACACCACATCACTCACCAGCCTCAAAGTTGTACATATGATGAATGTCGAGGTTCCATCCGCCTACGTCAGAGATATCCATGTGGAAGCCGTGGAGGGTCGCCGTCAGGGTCTCCCACAGGATACTGGAGCAGGTAACGTACTCGTAGCCTACAGACACCAGCGCCGTGGCCTCCCCGTATACCTGTGTGGGAGGGCAGGTAAGACACGCCGTCAGGTACAGAGGTGATTGGTTGGTGAGATTAGTGGCTCGTGAGATGATTGGTTGGTGAGATTAGTGGCTCGTGAGATGATTGGTTGGTGAGATTAGTGGCTCGTGAGATGATTGGTTGGTGGGATAAGTTGCCTTTGAGATTAGACCCGAACGTACGTAAAGCCGCTGAACGTACGGAAAGCCCCAGAACGTTTCCTCACCTTCTGTTTATAAACGTTTCTCTTGTTCCAGGTGAAGGTGTAGGTGATGTTAGTCAGCCTCGAACACCTTCTCGAACACGGAGCCTTCAAGCGTCACCTGTGGAGGGAGGAGGGGTAGAAGTATTAGTACAAGGAGGAGGAAGAGGAGGAGGAGGAGGGGAGGAGGAGGGGAGGAGGAGGAGGAGGAGGAGGAGGAGGAGGGAGGAGGAGGAGGAGGAGGAGGAGGAGGAGGAGGAGGAGGCTCAAGGGTTATTATGACAAACACAGTGATTAAAAGATTGTTAGGTTAGGTTTGAGTTGAGTCGAGTTGAGTTGTCTCATTATGTACAACAGTAACACGAACTAGCTGCAACACTACCAACAAACAGAAGGGGCACCAAACACCCCACTTCAGGCACCCCAGAAGGTTGTGAAGTCCATGTGGAGATCCTTGGAGAGGTCCTTGTGGGTGGGTGGTGTCCTACTTACCTTGAGATGAACCATGGAGAGTGCGGCGGGGACCTCCATAGGCGTGAGCTGCAGAAGGAGGGTGGAGAGGTAGCCGGAGACGCTGCTGGAGTGATACAGCAGGTGCAAGTCACTACCAGGGACTCGCAACGACTCCTGGACGACCTGTAGTAGCGGGAGAGAGAGGAGAGAGTGGTTAGTATGACGGGGTAGGACGCAGTTACGTGGGGGCAGAATACAGGGCAAAAATACGGGTAAAAAAATGCGGGGTATAAATACGGGGGAAAATCCAAGCATACACCACGGGGATGATAGTAAACAAAAGAAAAAAAAAGCTTCAGTGGTTTTTTTTAGACTATTGTTTTGTTAGGATAATTAAAGAGGTTGAGAGAGAGAGAGAGAGAGAGAGAGAGAGAGAGAGAGAGAGAGAGAGAGAGAGAGAGAGAGAGAGAGAGAGAGAGAGAGAGAGAGAGAGAGAGTAATAAATTCGGCGCCAAAACACATCATCAAACACCTCAAATATCGTGGGCTACTAACATCATGGCTACCAACAACATCATGGGCTACTAACATCATGGGCTACCAACATCGTGGGCTACCAACATCGTGGGCTACTAACATCATGGGCTACCAACATCGTGGGCTACTAACATCATGGGCTACTAACATCATGCTACCAACATCATGGGCTACCAACATCGTGGGCTACCAACATCGTGGGCTACCAACATCGTGGGCTACCAACATCGTGGGCTACCAACATCGTGGGTTACTAAATATAAACCATCGTTAAACTAATGCAGCCGTTAATAGGGGTGAAGGACTTGGTTGGCACTCGACTTAAAAGTGTTGAAGAGGCAGAAGGAGGAGGAGGAGGGGGGGTGAGAAGTGGAGGAGGGGGAAGAGGTGGAGGAGGAGCTGGCTGGAGGAGGAGGTGAGGGTGTGAAGAGGAGGGAGAAGGATGGCAATGTTGGGTAGTGAGAAGGGTGAGAGGGAGGAGAGCAATGTAGGAGAGAGTGAGAGAGTGAGAGAAAAGAAGGGAAGGGAGAAAGGAAGGGTTGGGGGATCTGGGAGAGGAGGGAAGGTGGAATGGTACGTGGGATAGGGCTTAATGACAAGGGAAAAAGGTTTAAAGAGAGAGAGAGAGAGAGAGAGAGAGAGAGAGAGAGAGAGAGAGTTTAAGGACGCCTTCATGTGGTGTGGCTGAGATAACTCGCCTCTCAATCCCTACTGGTGGAGGGAGGAAGCCAGTATCGGACGCTCGTGTCGTAAGTGATCACCACCGCAGGCAGAGGGCAGGCGAACAATTCATTATCGTGTTATTTTAGGTTGGTGAAGAGAGGTGGCGCGCCGGGTGCTGCTGTTCGCTTGTGGTGGCGTTATTGATTGTTCGTGTAGACGTTGATTTTTCCAAGGTCTGACAGCAAGAAAAAGTTCCCCCGTTTGTGTGTGTGTGTGTGTGTGTGTGTGTGTGTGTGTACAAGGCTGGTGGCACAAAAATAAAAATATAATCTTGGGTTAAAAAAAAACTACTGGCAGCCTAAAAAACAAAAACACAACAACAAAAACAACAACAAAAACAAAAACACAACTACAACAAAAACAACAACAAAAACAAAAACACAACAACAACAAAAACACAACAACAACAACAACAACAACAACAACAACAACAACAACAACAACAAAAGGATTGAAAACCATGAGATCAAACAATAGTCAGCGAATTCATTGTAAAAAAAAGATAAAAAAAAGAGTGGATTATGGAGGAAACTATTGTTAGGTACTGATAGACGGTATAAAAACCCGGTACCTGGCGGTTTAGTAAGAGAAAACTCGGTACCTGTTGGTTTATGCAGTAGAAAATCCTAGTTACGTATCGTGTTGGTTTAGGAAAAGATAACTTGTTGGCTTATTATTATTACTATTATTTTATTGTTATTATTATCATCAATATTATATTAGTGTTATTATTATTATTATTTTACAGTTATAATTATCGTTATTATTATTATTCCCTTATATACCAACCACCAAAAATGGCCCCCCAAAATTTATAAACAAAATAACTTAATTAACCTATACACACCTGTACCTGGAAGCCACAATCATCACTTTAACCCATAGTAATAAATTTGACGCTTCCTTGAACACATCATTTGCATCACTGCTTATCATAACATCACCACCATTGGCAATACTGTTAGTTTATCATAATTTATTTTTACAATTTACATCACTGTGTTCTTTCATTAGAATTTATGTAATATTTTTATTGTTATTTTAATTTTCAAAGCAATTTCTTTTTGGTTGGTTAGTCAAATATGAAATAGTGTATCAACAACATTTTTGGGGTCGCATATTATTATAATTATCAATGAATCATTTCAATTTAGTATTTTTATGGGAATATAATTTTGTGAATCACCTGAAGATTAGACACCTTAGTTTATTTCACTTAAATACCCTAACCTTACCTAGGGTTGGGTTAGGTTATGTTAGGTTAGATTACGTTAGGGTGTCTAATGCTCAGGTGATCCGATTTTTCCTCCCAGGTACATCAACATTTTCCTCCACAATACGTTCCTTAAAACACATCCTCCACAATATGTCCTTAAAACACATCCTCCACAATACGTTCCTTAAAACACATCCTCCACAATACGTCCTTAAAACACATCCTCCACAATACGTCCTTAAAACACATCCTCCACAATATGTCCTTAAAACACATCCTCCACAATACGTTCCTTAAAACACATCCTCCACAATACGTCCTTAAAACACATCCTCCACAATACGTTCCTTAAAACACATCCTCCACAATACGCCCTTAAAACACATCCTCCACAATACGTTCCTTAAAACACATCCTCCACAATATGTCCTTAAAACACATCCTCCACAATACGTAAATCTTTGAAGTTTGAACGAGGCGTGAGAAAATAATCCACCTCTCTAAATTCTAATTACTGTGTTGTAACCCACCACCTATTTTCATCCCAGGACAGTCAAAGGTAGAAACTAATTAAACTAATTGGAAATATTATCGCATAACCTTCCCATACGTGGCACAGGTAGGACACCCCATCCACTTGCACTAAACACAAGATCTTCTTTTTTTTCCTAGTTTAGATAAAATATATAAGGATATTCATATGAGGTCTTATCTACAGAAGAGGTCAATTATATGGTTGTTTTTTGACCTGTTTGACCTTTTTGACCTTTTTGTCCTTATATTCTTAAAATAGAGTAAAAAGTTAGAGGCAAGGAGAGTTTAGGTCACCGAGGGAATGATTTGTAATTATTAACTGTATTTCTGTTTGTCTGCGTCTCTTCTCTTCGTCTGTCTGTGTCTCTCTCTTTGTCTGTCTGTCTCTTTCTCTTTCTTGGTCTGTTTGCTTCTCTGTTAGTCTTTCTTTTTCTCTCTTTGCTTGCCTCTCTCCATTTCTCTTAGTCTTTCTATCTCTCTTATTTATCTTTGTGTGTTTGTCTCTCCAAAACTATAAAACAGTTTTAATTGAAAGTTCAAAAGTATAATATAAAGTTTATACTATAAACAAAAGTCTTAGTAAGTTCAAAGGTATAAAAAAGTAGTTAAAAATTATATATATATTTTTTTTTACTTCTAACATTCTCTGACAATAAAAAAATAAAATAAAAAAAAAATACCAAAGAAGAGACAAAGAAAATTACCAATTCAGTGGAACTTGTCCAGGATAACAAAAATATATTCAAAAGTATCTGGAATTATATATTTTTCCTGACGTTCTCATATAATAAATAATAGCAAAAATAATAAAAAATAGCAAAAATAATAGTCTTTTCTTGTCTGTATCTTCTTTTTCGACTTTTGTTTAAACTTGAACACAAATTGGAGGTGAGAGGTGGAGAGTCCAACCTACCCCCAACACCCACCATGAACCACAAACCATAAGAGACACACAGATCACCACAGAGGAGTAACAGACGGTGGAGTCAACGAAGCAGGACCTACCGTGTTATACAGCCTTCACGCCCCCTGACACCCTCCCACCCCAGGACACGACGGCAAGTCACTAAAATTCTCTCTTCTGATATATTTATTTCACTCTCTCTTGACTGGGTGTGTGAGAATGTTTAACTGATTGATGGTAACACATAATAATGGAGTCTGTGAGGTTTATGAGTTAATTTTTCTACTTTTAAAGGCGTCTAATGGAATAAAGATGGCGTGTCCCTTAATTGAAAATGTGAGAAGGTATCCAGCCAGCTTACTAAGGTTATCTATGAGACGGAGCCTTAAAAAATCCCACTGTAAATATTATTTCCTCATAACTGGATATGTTTGACAGCATCTAGTTAGCTTCATCCATAAAGGCAACAAGATGGTGGCAACAGTTGGGAAAAAAAAAACACGCATAGAAAGTTGCCAAAGCCCGGGTACTGGGCCACTTCCAGCCAGACTCTCTTGACAGCGGAAAAGTCGCTAAATCTTGTTAATTTTAAGCTCCGGTCAGCAAATTTCAAGGGTTAAATTTAGTGAATTTTAGCGAAATGAAGGAAGACACAGCTGACTTAGAGTGATTTATGGATTGATTTTCTTGAGTTTGACGACGAGTTTGTTAATGATATTAGTGAAGTTTATCTCGTTAAAAAACAGTTTCCTTACAGGCATCAGGCAAGGGGTGGGAGAGTAAGGGGGGGGAGGGGGTGGAGGTAAGGGGAGGGGGTGGAGGGTAAGGGGGAGGGGGTGGGAGGGTAAGGGGAGGGGTGGCAGGGTAAGGGGGGGGGGGGGGGGGGGTGTTAGTAAGGATCTCCCCCTGCTCGACTGCTAAAAATAATCCCCACTGACACCCAGACCGTCAATACACGAGATTCTCCTCTTGATAAACAGATTTAAAGCTTCACTATTTTATAATCTAAATCGGAGAGCGCCGTCACATAAGTGTATTTATGAGAAAAAAATCCCTCGTTTTATTCATACTTTTTACTATTGCAGCTCGAGAGATGAGGACAGACAAGAACAGGGCTGAGCTATCAACAGTACAACACAAAACAATAAAATAAATATGCTGGGGTATTATTTAGTGCGTGTGTGTGTGTGTGTGTGTGTGGGTGCGTGGTAGATATATAGTAGTAAGGAGAGGGGGGACATACCTGGCTGATACAAAACTCCAGGTGTATTCAGAGGAGGAAACACACCTGTACAACATTAACTCAACAGGTGTACTGAAGGTAATTAATTAACACTTTAACCTACCTGAGTTTCGGTGAAGACGACGGGCAGGTGAGGGGCGCCGCCGACAGTATGAGGCAAGTACGTGGACACTACCTGAGGCACCATCACGCTTTGGTCGTGCTCAAGGCAAGGTTCACCCCAGCCAGGTGCTCCTCCTCCTCCACCTCCTCCTCCCACCTCACCTGTAGGGGAAGGTAAGTTACCCCTCATTACCATCACTCATTAGCCACGGATTTATTATTGTTATTTTTTTTTAGTTGAGTCTCCAAGATGTATGAGAACTTTTTTTGATTGGCTGATTGACTGACTGGTAACTGACTGATTGACTGACTGGTTGGCTGGTTGGTTAACTGACTGACTGACTGACTGGTTGGCTGGTTGGTTAACTGACTGACTGACTGACTGGTTGGCTGGTTAACTGACTAACTAATTGATTGACTGACTGACTCAACCACACAATGACTCATGCACTCACCGCTAGCATGGTCATCCGGTGTCTCCTGGCCCTTGAGTCTCATCACGATAGGATCAAGGACAACGATCTGGTTCCATGGCACTGGCACTGTTACCGTCAGGGGTTCGAACGGCGCTCTCTGGAACTGTAAGGTGACCGCTCCCCCACCGTTCACCAAGACATCGAACCTGTGAAGAAAAGATGTTGAGAAATGGATGAGTATTGACAGTCTTTAAGGAGATGGTTTAAGGGGTTGGTTTAAAGGGGGGGTTGGTTTAAGGGGTTGGTTTAACCCGGGGGTTGGCTTAAAGGGGTTTGGTTTAAGGGGTTAGTTTTAAGGGATTGGTTTTAAAGGGTTGGTTTAAGGGGTTGGTTTAAGGGGTTGGTTTAAGGGGTTTGATTTAAGGAGTTTGGTTTAAGGAGTTTGGTTTAAGGAGTTTGGTTTAAGGGGTTAGTTTTAAGGGATTGGTTTTAATGGACGTTGGTTTTAGGGCAACACAAAAATGTTTTTCAATATGGCGTCTATTTGAGCTGAGACTACTGTATATCGTAGACTCGTTGCTTCAGTCACTAGTTCCCTGTTTATTACAAGACTTTTATTAACGTCTCTCTGTCTCTTCTCTCTTTCTTCTCTCTGTCTCTTTCTATCCTCCACCCATCCTTTTCCACTCTCCCTCTTCTTCATTCAACTCACACTCTCCCTCTTTACTCCCTCCCATTCTCCCTCCTCCCCATTTACTCTAATTCTCCCTCCTCCCCATTTACTCCCATTGTCCCTCCTTCCCATTTCCCCCAACTCTCCCCCGACCCTACTTATTCTCACTTTCCTCCTCCTCACTCTCCAGCGAACCCTCCTCCCTCCCCATCCTCCTACCCTCCCTCCCTCCCCCCCCCACCACTGCTCCAAACAACACAATTGCATTTCCATAATAAAATCTGTCCTCGTCTCCTGGCTATATATATATATATATATATATATATATATATATATATATATAGAGAGAGAGAGAGAGAGAGAGAGAGAGAGCCGTGAGCCTGAGCATGTCACAGCCTCTGCCTAACCTAACCTATCACTGCTACACAACCCGGGTTTAAATACTGGTGGTTTTATATCACGTTTGTTTTATTTCATCATTGTAAATAACAACAAAAACAACAACAACAACAACAACAACAGCAGCAATAATAATAATAATAATAATAAAAAAATAAAAATAAAATAATAATAATAATAATAATAATAATAATAATAATAATAACAATAATAATAATAATAATAATAATAAAATCAACAAAGAAAATAAACAAACACACACAAACATATACATAAAATTAATATATCAACGTTTCATCTGTCTGGGATTCGACCCGACGCACCGGACACCACCATACTGAGTCGAGCCCTATACCATTCAGCCAACAGTGACGGCTCAAAGGTATATAATCCTCATCCTGTCTGTGTTCTTAATGTAGAATCGAATCCCGGACTTGGACACCCTTACAAAAGAATACACATTAAGTATACTGTATATATGTAAAAATCTGTCCCATATACACATTAAGTTTACTGTATATATATATATATATGTATAAATCCGTTACCCAGTGCCAGTGTTAGCTAGTCCGGAAACCCTCGCTAGTCCGGAAACCCTCGCTAGTCCGGAAACCCTCGCTAGTCCGGAAACCCTCGTTAGTCCGGACACCTATTTACTCAGTGGTGCATAGAAAATGGATCAGGAGAGAGAGAGAGAGAGAGAGAGAGAGAGAGAGAGAGAGAGAGAGAGAGAGATATGAGAACAATACTGAAAGATGGGAGGTAATAAATATGGATAAAGAGACAATAGAATAATACCCAAAGGCAATATGATGGGGACGCTCGTGATGGGGTGAGAGGGGGAGAGGGAAGGAGAGGAGGAAGAGAGAGGGAGAGGGAGGAGAGTGAGGGGGAGAGAGGAGAGGGGGAGAGAGGAGAGGGAGGAGAGAGAGGGGAGGAGAGAGGGAGAGAGTGAGATATAATGGACAAAAGATGGAAGTAACGAAATAGAATAGATATATCCTCCACGGCCGGTCTCCACGGTCATCCTCCACAGTCATCCTCCACGGTCATCCTCCACAGTCATCCTCCACAGTCATCCTTCACAGTCATCCTTCAGTTATCACAGTTATCCTCCACAGTCAGTCTCCATTCACCCTTCAGTCACCCTCCAGTCATTCTCCACAGTCATTCTCCACAGTCATCCTCCACCGTCATCCTCCACAGTCATCCTCCACCGTCATCCTCCAGAGATACAACCATGGGATATACTAGGCCAGGTATATCCCACAGGGGGAGTATAACCATCCCCAGTTGATATGTTTACCTCCATAGAGTGAGAGACCACCTGAGGACGATCTAATGCTCGCCGCTGATTGGTCGCTGGTACAGGTCCACAATAGTCCCCTCTCTATTGGATCATATACGTGTGTGTGTGTGTGTGTGTGTGTGTGTGTGTGTGTGTGTGTGTGTGTGTGTGTGGTTTCCCTTACCTTCAACCTCTCCATCTTTCTCACTTATCTCTCACCCTCTTATTAGTTTCTCCTCCCTTTCTCTCACATTAACCTCTCAACTTCTCTTACTTATTCCTACACTCACTCTCCCTCCCCCACCCACCCCACTTATCTCATATTTCTCACTCCTCCTTTTCATTATCTATCCCTCCTCATCCACACCCATTCTCTATCTCTTACCATTATTCTCCTTCCTCTCCTTTACTTCCTATTCTCTCCTTATTTACTCTTTCTCAATCACTATCTCTCCCTTACACATCTCTCTCCTCACAACCTTGTAGGAATAAACTAAGCCCAGGTCCCCGCCAGGCTACAGTGTTAGGAGACAGGCACCACTGCTCTCATAAGCTCCAATCAGCTGGTGTCGGCGGCCCTGTTTGTTTACGGTTGAGGGGAGACTACACAAATTCCGCGACCCCCGCCATCACCCAGACGCTAGCGACGCTAAAATCCATATATTTCATTATAGGGAGAAGTACCTATAATATACAGACGTTCCGTGATGCTAAAATCTATATATTTCACTATAGGAATTCCGCGATGCTCCTTTAAATCAATATATTTCGTTATGGGGGGAAAGTACAGGTGTCCGCGAAGCTAAAAACGTCATATTTCATTACGAGGAAAAGTACCCATAAATTACAGGTATCCGTGATGCTTAAATCCATATATTTCATTATGGGGAAAACAATGGTTAACTTATCAGGTCTCTCAAGATGTAAAAGTTGGGGGGCTCCCATATGCTAATTAGGTATTGGGTGGACTAAATATTATACTCTGTCTTTATTATTTTTTTCTATACAGGACATACGACCCCTCAGCCCCCCCTCTCCCTCCCATTGAGAGTATAGGTAGGGCCCTCCTCACCTTCCATCCTAGGAAAAAAAAACACCTAAATTGATGATAAAGGCAGATGGAATATGGTTTATAGTGACCAGGTGTTTTAATTAAAGGGTTTACCTGTATTTTATATGTCCGGGTTTATATTGGTTGTGTATATTAATTGTTGTAGCAGCTTAGATATTGTAATGTATTCTCTCTCTCTGGCTCTCTTAAAAAGTGCGTGCGCGTGCGTATGTGTGTGTATGTATATGTACTGTATGTGTATGTATGTGTATCGTTAGACTACATATGTATTCATCTTCTATTCCAATCTCACATATATATATAATATCATGAAAACTGGTAAATCATGTTAACCTTGTAAGTTCCTGATATAATAATCCACACCAGATAATTAATTACCTCTCTATAACTACAAACATACACCTGAGTGGATGTATAATTTTTGTATTTCAATGATAGACGACATAAAATTACAAAATAATAGCCAATCACTGCATCTACTTACTTACCAAATAGCCAATCACGGCAGCTATTTATAAGTTAAGTGTAGATATCGCCATTACCTATTAATAAATACAAATATAAACTCAAGTGTGTATATATATATATATTGTTTTTAATGTTTACTGTTAAAATATATTGCAAAATGAAGGTAAGTTAATTAGTGTCAGGTGAAGTGTAGGTGTCCAATGAACACACCTGGCTATCTCGGTACAGGTGTTAAGGGTTAGGTTAGGGGGGGGGGGGTTTAATGTGGACCTGATGTTGACTTTTAGGTCCACAGACATACAGGATCATGATAACTTTGATCCTCCTGTGGTCCCTGAACGAAAAGGGTTTTAATACCTTTTAAAATACGAAAAGGAAATGGCTAAATAGATTTCCTTTTGTGTCTCAATAGTTAAACAAAAGCTGTTGCTAGGGCCTCTCCTCCTCTCTTACATTACAGCAAGCCTCATAGCTCTTCCCTGGTACTGACTACACAAGGCAGGTTCAGGTGTTCAGCATTTAATGGCGACACATACACAAACACACACACACACACACACACACACACACACACACACAGGTAAGGCGCCACACATTTCCTGAGTTCCCTTTTACCTCTTACTGCTAAAAGGCCGCTTTAGGTATATAATCCTTCACGCTAACAAGACCCACAGCTTATTGGATAGTGTGTGTGTGTGTGTGTGTGTGTGTGTGTGTGTGTGTGTGTGTGTGTGTACTCCATCTACTTATGTATCAAGACAGGTAAATCTTCTTACAGGTGTGTGTCGCCATTAGCAGCCTTTGTACCTGCCCCCCTTCGGTGATACCTTCAACTTCAACTGTGTAAAGAAGTATCGGCCTCACTACCATATTAAACATTATATTTCTCTAAGTTCTTAAAACAATCACAGTTCTTTGTTATTGTTTTTGTTATTGTGTTATTGTTATTTTGTTATTGTTCTCGAGTTATTGTTATTTTGGTATTGATATTTTGTTATTGTTTTTATGTTTTTGTTATTGTGTTATTGTTATTTTGTTATTGTTTTTGTGTTACTGTTATTGTCATTGTTATTATTTTTTGCAATTAATATAAATGTATTTCTTTAAGACAGTCAGGTAGCTCTATGCATGTTAATCCTGGATGATTCTCACTCACAGGAATAAGTTGTATATACAGTGAGAGAGAGAGAGTGAGGTAAGGGGAACTATTTCTTCCCCTACAAGAGTTTCCTACATACAATACCTCCTCTTAGCTACCAACACCTATGAGCCACGCTGAAGAAGGAGAGAAAGGAGTAAAGACAAC